GCAATTTTGGTGATTCTCTCTTTATGATCTCTCGTAATATTTGGATTTGTGCTTTGCGTTCTTTTTTTATCGTTTTGATTCATTGGATCTAATTAGTTTCAAATCTCATTGTTGATCCAATAATTTTTTTTTTTTTTTTATCAAGTCTAAAATCAAAATTTCGTTATTGTTCATCAATCCAAAATTCAAGCCCAATCTGATTTGTGATTAATGTTCATTGATTCAAGCCCAAATAATCACATTAAATCCATTATTGTTCATTCAAACACAATGAGCCCAAACTTGTAATCCAATTAGTATATTCGATGCATCTGATTCTTTTCACATGTCCGACATCTATCTTCTCGTTCTAAGCAAATCAATAACCAAGATCTTGTATGTTGATTCAAAAGTCGGTTGTATCAAACCAGTTTCGTTGATGGATATTAATCATTTTTCTTCTATCGATTCATCTAGTCTTGAATCGATCCGATTGCGTTTGATATTGATATTTTATCAATCATTGATAATCTTGTTCTTCATTGTTAAGTTTGTTTCAATCGAGTTTTATGTTTTGATTTCTTTCACAGTGAATCGATTTTCAATATTGTATGAAGAATGTTCGATTAGAAATTCCTTTAATCGAAATCGATTATTTTAACTGAAATTGAATCACAGAATCGATCGATTGAAGTCAAAACTGAGTTAGATTATTGAAGAATCACTTGAAATCGAATTTTGATTTTTGGGTGATAACAAATCAAAGATGAACAAAAATCGACTGTGTTTCAATTTCGATAGTTTGATGTGCGAGAAGTTGATTTTGGAATTAAGTACAGTTCGCACGATTGGAATCGATGGATCGATGAAAACAATTTTGGGTCGAACAACATTCGATCGAGATGTAAGTTGGGGTATGAAGAACAGTTTGAAAACTATGTTTGATCGGAAATCTAACCCCAGAATCATCGAAATCATGTTTATGGTTTGTTGACTTTGAAGAGTCAAACTAACGAAAGTTGAAATCAGTTGCGTTTGATGGTCAAATTCATGAAATTGGATGAACAAGTGGATGAATGGAATGAGAAGTGTGATGTTTTTGTTTCAATTTCGATTCCTAAAAATCGATATTGAGTTTGGATGATTTTGGAGCTACGAATTCGATTTTGGTGTCGTTCGATCAAAGTCTTTGGTGTGATGATAGCATCCATTCGCATCTGGTTCTTATACTTGATTTCGCATATTGATTTTGGTTCGCAATATGGAAGTCAGACAAGATGTTAATTCGCATTTTGTTATGTAATTGTGATATTCACATTTGAGATCAAGAACAGTTCTGCATATGAGTGACTCAAAGTTAAGTTCACATCTGGATCTCAAGAATAATGTTCACATTAGATGACAAAATGAAAATGCGAATGGTTGAACAAGATCATTGTGTTGTGTTCGCATATTTTGTTATAGTGGGAGAAAGATGCGAAAGGTGTGAGAATGGAACATGCGAAGTATTTCACAGTTAGTGAATTGGCGAACAAGAAAACAAATAAGTTTCACATTTGGCTCCTGATCTTTTCACGAAATAATACAAATGGTCCAACTTCGCAAATAGGGTCATAAAATGACAAAAATGCAGAATTTCCATTTCGCATCCCTGCAGTCTTCGCAAAATGGCAAATTTTACCCAGTTTCGCATTTGGGGTAAAAATTTTGAGAAATTGGAATATTTTCAAATCTAGTCCCTGCAGTTTGTGCGAATTTACACATTTTACCCAGTTTCGCGAATGGGAGTGTGTTTCGCATATTTGGATGTTTTTAGCGCAAAGGGTCACTGCAGAATTTTGAAATTGATAATTTCTATCCATTTTTGAGAAATTATGTCAAAGGCGATCCGTGAATGATGATAAAAATTCATTATTTTTTGGATTTTCCGGATTGAAGCACAAAGTTTATGCCACATGTTAAGGGGGAGTTTTAACATGAAAAATTCCGAATAGAGCACATTCTTTCTCCTTGGAGTTTTATAATCAAATTTCGATTATAAAAAGGGGGAGAAGTTTTATATGGAAATTCGAACTTGAATTTTTCATATTATGCGAATTTGAAGACCGAGGTGATCTTGAAGTTTTGAAGCTACGAGATGATGCAATTGGAAATTCGGAAGTGATGTATTCGAAATGGGTTTGGTTTATTGAATATTTTTGGGGTGTGTTTGTATGCGCAACTTTGGGTGATTATTTGGAGTTTGGAATACTCTTGATCATTCGTTGCTGCTCGGATTGTATGTCTCACATCCTAGAGCCCAAATTGAAGAGTCATGGAAGAATTGAAGATTGAAATTTGTTTCGACATGTGTCACCTTTGAGGCTCGAACCGCGTAGTGCTTGATTTTGGAAGATTTGAAGTGGATCATTCATTCCTAACTTTGAGGGGGAGAATGTTGGGGTTGCAAAGTTATTCATTCATGATTTTGTAAATGTTTGACTTGTGTAAACCCACTTGCATGTGGTGATTTAGCCTTTAGATCCATTTGTTAGTTAGAGTGAGAGAGAAACATGTTAACACCTCTATATAAGGTGGGTTTGTCCACTTGTAGAGGTGTGCTTGAGAGATGTAGAAGTGAGTGTGAAAGTGTGTGTTAATTATGTAGTCTAGATCTAGATCCTTTTTGTAAACACCATATACATTCAATATATCTCTTAATTAAACACCTAAATCACCATGTTCAATTGTGCAAGCTTTAATTCCGCATGCCAAACCATGTTCTTTGTCACTACACTATCATACAATTGCTTTCAATCAAAAGTATTTTATACATATTTAAAAAACACTTACAACTTTTTTATATGTTTTAACTAGAAGCTTATAATTTTTTTTATGAATTTTTAATACAACATTTAAACCTTTTTTACACTATTATATGACGTATTGTTAAAAAAAAAAATATTAAATGTTATAAAAAAAGTATATGCAAAAGTCTATGAAATGTTTTAAACATGTTATTGAAAAATTAATAAAAAAGGTTGACAAACGGTTGTATGAAAGTTACAAAACTCCCCCTTAACATGTGGAGGAAAACCTCTTATTTTGTCTAAAATTTTCTTTTTTTACCAATATTAATATCAAAATAACTTTTATCTTATTAAAAATTAATATTTTGACATAATTCAAGATGTTTGACAATTTGAGGATTTTTAATAATAACGTTTAGATAAAACATCAAAAATGATTCATGTGGTTTTTGAAAATCTGAAGTTTAGTCTTTAATTTATAAAACCTCATAGATGATCCCTGTGGTTTCAAAACTTTTAACAAACGATCATTTTCGCTAATTTCGTTAGCTTTTGGCTGTTAAGTGAAGAGCATTTATGTCTTTTCACTACCACATGGACCATTTATATATGAAGTTTTTCCTTATTTAAAAAAATAAAAGCAATATATAATTATTTAATCTCTCTCTTTCTTTCTCTCTGTTTCTCTCTCTCTCTCTCTCTCTCTCTCTCAATCATCCCCATGGTCTTCTTCTTTGTCTTCACCTGTAAATCTTAAACCACATAGACATATTTCATACACATACACATTTAAAGGACCTTCACAAAGCCACTGATTTAACACAATGAATCTTTGTTTAAACCCAAGATTACAAGTTCATCAGCAAAACAATGTTCATCAAGAAGAGAATGACGAAGCATCATCTCCAAAAATATTTATATGAATCCACAATTACAGTAACAAAAACGGGGAACTAACTTTAAAATGAATTAGGAAAATGATTTCTTGGCTACGCAAAATATCTTTATCTGCACTAGGTTTGATTTGTGCTCAAGCATTTCCAGAAACACATAGTGTGCATGAGTTATTGAACAGTTCTTACCTGCTCTGCACCACACATTGACTAAACTGGTAGATGACAACATACAACATTTGATCCGAATTATGCTTTGTTTCACCTATACTTTGTTTAATTCGATTTTGCAAACCACAAATGAATGATTATTTAACAGTAGTGAAGAAGAGGGCTTGTGATTTGTTTCACCAGTTCGGACAAGGTAGTAAGTTTTGTTCACCAGAGAAGAAAGGTAGCCGAGAACCTCCGACTTCCTTCCTGTTTCCTTCTGTTTTTGAATCCCAAGCAGATCCCTTGCCATATCCTGCTTCATCCATCGAGTTTCAGGTAGAGATTTTCCTGGGAAATCATAAGGCAACAACCCCTCTTGTTTTCCCCTTTTTTCACCGATTCCCCAGAAAGCTAAAACAAAACCCCTCACATGTTGTTACTGATTGTATCGCCCTGCCTGACCACCTTTCCCTTCTTATTTCGCATTCCTTTCCGAGGCAGAAAGAGAGTAGTCTCGCTGCTTCGTCCCTTCTCTTTTCTTCGGACCAATTGAGCAATGGAGGTGCTCCCTCCTCTGTGCAATTAAATCCCTCAATGAATCCATCTGATTGGGCCTCTGGTTTCCTCTTCCCTTTTGCACAAAAGTTGAACCAACGGAGGCGCACAATTGTTTTGATCGTATTTATTTTTCGCTTTCATTTCCTTCCTTTGATCGATTTGGGGATATGAGGGAGAGAGAGAGCTGTTGGACCCTTTTAATATTAAATATTCATAAAAACTTCATAAATGATCCCTATGATAGTGAAAATACATAAATGGCCTTCACTTAACGGCCAAAAGCTAACGAAGTTAGCGAAAAAGATCATTTGTTAAAAGTTTTGGAATCACAGCAACCATCTGTGAGGTTTTTATAGATTAGGAACTAAACTTCAGATTTTCGGAAACCATAGGGATCATTTTTGAAGTTTTGTCTAACGTTTTAATAAAAAATAATATTGTATATTTAAATCAAGATCATGAAGTCGTAAATTTTACATTTAAATCAGGATCATCAAGTTGTAAATATAGTCACATGCAAAAGATAATCACGTAATTTTTATATAAAATTATAATTAAATGATTGAATAAAAATGATATTTCCTCAACCAAGCCCCATGTATTTTTCTCAACCACTTCATCTTACACCCCCAACTCCTCAAGTGGTCTTTTCATTCACACATCTCTCATTAATCACCCTTGTATAGTAGCCCCATTACTATATAAATTCTATACATCATATTTTAACTTCATAACACAACCACCAGCACCACAAGAAAAAAAAAAAACTTGTCTTCTATTCAAAAGACCAAAAATGTTATATATGGCTCGAAAAGCTGTGATAATCTCAGTAGTTGTTTCCTTTCTTATGAAGAATACAAAGGCATCAACAACCACTGGAAACTTCAGCCAAGAATTCGACATCACATGGGGAGATGGACGAGGGAAGATCTTGGATAACGGTCAACTACTCACGTTATCACTAGATAAGACTTCTGGATCAGGGTTTCAGTCCAAGAACCAATCTTTGTTTGGAAATATCGATATGCAGATGAAACTCGTTCCTGGCAATTCTGCTGGCACTGTCACTTCATTTTATGTACATAGTTTCTTTTTGTCTTTAATTTATCGTCTTCTACTTTTTTCAATAAAATGATTAGGTGAAGTTTGTGAAATACTAATAAAATTGGTTTGTTTGCAGTTGTCTTCTCTCGGGTCAACTCATGACGAGATTGATTTTGAATTTCTTGGTAACCTTAGTGGAGATTCTTATATTCTTCATACCAATGTTTTCGTTCAAGGCACAGGCAATAGAGAGCAACAATTTTATCTTTGGTTTGACCCCACTATGGATTTTCACACGTACTCTATCTTATGGAACCCTGAAAACATCATGTATGATTTCTTTATCTCGACTCTTAACATCTTATGGTTTGCATGTGACACACATGTACGTCACAAAACACTTTTAGGCATACAAATAGGTATTGGAAACAATAAAAAATTGATGGCCAAATGGTGTTTTTTTCGTACAAATTTTCATACATAATATAAGTTTGTTTAATTAATTAACTTTATGATCGTTTTACTTTAGTTACTTGTACTCAATGCAGATGGTTTGTTGATGGAACTCCCATAAGACAATTCAAGAATTTGGAAACGTACAATATTACTTTCCCTAATAAACAACCGATGTGGATCTTCTCGAGTCTTTGGGACGCTGAGGATTGGGCAACGAGAGGTGGTCTTGTGAAGACAGATTGGACCCAAGCACCCTTTACTGCATCCTATAGAAATTTTGGGATACAAGTATGCGAACAACCTTATTCGTATTCATGTTCTCACGAAGCATGGATAACAGAATCCTTGAATAGCTCAAGTTTAGAAAAACTGAAATCGGTGCAAATGAAGTACATGATTTATAACTATTGCACTGATACTAAACGATTTCCTCAAGGGGTTCCTAGTGAATGCAAGTACACATGAAAAAGCTGATGAAATGATGGAGAAATAAAGAGTGTATGCAAATATCACATATTTCAAATATAATTGATGTAAATAAAATATAAGGATAGTGACACATAAGTTTATATCATCAAGTTATTTTAAATGATACCGATCACTCATGTTGACTTAGAAGTCATGATCGTAGTATGGTATTGATTATATTTGTGTTTAAATTCATCTGTTTACAAATAAAAGAAAAAAAAATCAAAACACAACCTCAAATATATTTGTCACGACAATTGCCGAGATTATCTTGCAATTGTGTTTGTATGCTTGGGCGTGATGAATTGAAAAGGACATTTTTGTAAGGTTATAACATAACATTCCTTTAACAACTCACCACACAAGTAATACCAACTACCCATCCTCCGTGTCCTCTTTCTTCTAAATGAAATAAGATAGATTGATAGACCATAACTGAGAACATAAATCTCTTTCAAATTACTTTTTAATGATTTGCTCTAAATATTCTAATTCATAAAACATGTTTCAGCCTTTCAGGAGGTTATTGCAACATTTGGCTTTTTGACGGGTATTCGGGTAATAAATTATGTAAGTTATTTGAGTATTAAATTAGACGAATAAGATGGACAAGTTTCTGTGTTTTTGTGATATGATTATTCGGGAAAAATGTGGATTTGAGATTATCGAACTGGTGAAAATAAGACGGGTTGTAAAGTCTAAATTTCAAAAGTGTTAAAGTATTTTTCTGGTATTGATTAATTAATCCGAATTTATATAGCTACTTAATGATTTCACTGTTACTGATTTAATTCCGAATTTGTTAAGTTATTTAATGAATACAATATTTACTGATTTAAAGTAAATTACCAAAAAGTATTTGACAGCGGTATTAAGGTGTTGAATATGTTGAGGGTTCGAATTCCATTTTGAACAAAATATATAGTCTAAAAGTAGGATTTAGATGGTGTGTTAGTTGTTTCAGAAATAAAAAAAATAAAAAAAAAAAAAAAAAAAAAAAAATGGGGCTAAATCGTTATATATTCACTACAAGAAATAAGAAAATTATTAGCTACAAATGTCGCCACAAAATCACATCACCAATATTGACATGTGGAGGATATTGTTGTCCCTTGTGCTCAACAAGTCGTCGCTATTATTGTTACTGTTTTTTTTTTTAATTTTAAAATATAATGCAAATTAATATCTTATATAAATGCAAAAATGTTATTAATATATACAGAAAACTGCATTACATATATATAATACGCATAAATACATATAAAATCCTAAATATATGTTCTAACTTAGACTTAATTTCACAGATGGTCATTTAGATTTTTCGTATGTCCATAAAATGATTTTTATAAAACCTTTTTTGCATGGATATTCCCTACGGAGCAAACATTGCATACAATCGGTCCTTATGACTAACTTTGTTAACAGATTTTCTTAAGTTTTGTGAAATGATAAAAATACCCTTTATTTTTTTATTTATATAAAATCCAAATATAATCAAGAAAATACACACAAATGTCACCGCTCACTGCCCACCACCACCTATTGCAATCACTTTTCCACTAACCACCACCACCACCCACTATTTGATTTCAAGATGATGGATCATCATCTATGACTTCAACGCCCGTCCAAACCTTCCCTTCAATGTTAATTTCACCCGTAACGAAGTCAACTCAAAAGAACAGGATCATGTATTAGATTAAAAGAATATTAGAAAAATCTACAATAAACCCTAGATTTTTGTTTCATGTTAAGTTTGCTGGCAATGCTCCACTAAATTGATTGTTGCCTAAGTCAAGATATTGAATAGATGAGAGTGAAAACATAGAGGAAGGAACCCAAAAGTTTATTTGTGGATATATCAAGTCTTTCAAAGGTGAACAAATTTCATAAAATCTAAAGGGATTTCGATCCTGATTGAATTATTTTTCAATGTAATCGACATAAGATTGTAACTCAAATAAGGGTATTTCTGTGGTATCTCCTTCATTTGAAAAAGACTAAACAACATGATTAAATATTATCTCATGATTTTTGGTTCGATCTCATCTCATGATCATGAAGGAGTTCACCGACTGATTTCCAAAACTGTTCAGGTAGCCACATGGATGTCCGATGGAAACACTTTGCATCACATGTTTAATAAAACAATATCAGTTGACCCAAGACTAGGTTCATCCCTCTAATGCTATAAAAGAGGTTTAAGGATGTCCCTTTGTTTTCTATTGAGGTCGGTTTTAAAAGACCATACCTACCGCCTATTTTCAAGTTGAGAGTGGAGTTACCAAAAGTGTTTGATAGGATAATTGTTCAAGTTAAAAGTATCAACTTAATAGTATAAAGCAAAATCCCGTTTTATTAAAAAAAAAACGTGAATCGAATGTTTCCCATGAAATATGCACATTCTCTTTATAATATGTTGATGGGGCTGATGTGGTTAACTGACACATTAATTTGAGAGTATAGTTGAGAACTATATGGAATTAACAAATCTCAAGCATAACTTGAGTCAGAGAACGTGCATTTTTGCATGGCTGATTCACCATTTTTTTCTGATCTGCGACGACCGCGTCATAGAATTTGAGACGATCATAATCTGAGATTAATATGTTATTGACAGTTAATGAATCACAAAGATCTAGGAATTTAATAGTGACTGAAATTGGCAAATAGTATTGCCTACCTAAATAACTTTGTGGTGTCTTTACAACGATTCTTTACAGCCTTTTTAAATAATTTTATTTAGGGTAATTATTTTATAAGGATTAATAAAACTAAGTATAATGGAAATTGATATTGAATGGTGTCTATAATCATATCTACTAAAATCTACTGCTATAAAACCTTTGAAAGGGTAAGCTGTTAGGATAATCAACATTGTCAAAATTCATAGTTTGGGAATAGTTATCATAAATTAAAGGAAAGATAATGCCTTAGGTAAAAATTCTTCTTGGAAGTTCCTCCAAACCACTGCATTATAATCTATTAGAAAGAGCAATTATCAAGTATACGTTGTATAACGACATTTTGAAATAAAATGGAATTAACTAGGGTTAGTTAACTCGTTGACATGTATATATGATTATTTCACTATGATTTGTTATGATAACCTTAAAATATCCATGAAGGAGTTGCACTACTAGAAAAACAGCCTTTTACGACGCGTAATGCATGACGTAAAACGCTCAAACGACACGCAAATGCGTGTCAATAAAGGCACTATCATAACGAGAGACGACACGCTTTTGCGCGTCGTCTATTTACGACACGCATTTACGACGTGCGTTTACGACACGCATTGCGTATCAAGGAAGGCCCTATCATAAAGGAAGATGACACGCATTTGTGTCTCGTAACCTTACGACGCGCATTGTGTATCATTAAAGCCCTTGTCAAGAAAGGTCATGTCATAAATTAAGATGACACACATTTTTGCTTATCATAATTTTAAATGTTAAAAAAAAATATTATTTATAGATTTACTAATTTTTAAATTAAGTTTGAATTTAATATCTCATAATAGAAAATAAAATATCATATACAAAAAATACAGTCCATTGCATAAAATTTAATGTCATACAAATAATCGTTCCATGGAAAGATAAAACAAATCAATAATAGTTGTAACAATAATTTACAAACTAATTAGATACAAGAAATATATATATATATATATATATATATATATATATATATATATATATATATATATATATATATATATATATATATATATATATGTACCCTCAAATGCTTTTCAAAGTCTAATCTCCATGTCAGCTCTTCAACTCGCTTCTCCAGTTTGTCCTTAGCTGTGACAACATAGTATAATTTTTTAATTACTATTTATTCTTATAATTCAAAGCACTTAGATAAAATGGTATTATATATTACTTAGATTTTTTTTACAGAAAATCCACTCACCAGCTTCAACATTCTTAATTCTTTCTTGCTACCTTTGATCTCCATAGACATTGAAGTGTAAGATTTGCTTTCTACTTACTCACCGTTGTATCTAATCATTTTCTTAAATATTTTACAAACATAATTCATCCATAGTACATGAACTATAGTTACAACCTTTTTTCTTCATCATCTTCTTATGAACTCATCTCTTGCAGCCAAAATTAAATACCATTCGAGATCATGCCATATGGCAACAAATGCGAAGACAACCCACACATTTGGGGAAAACGGAAATAGAAATAGAAACCTTCTGTTTGAAGAAATACAAATTTTTGCCAAATTATGCCCGATGGTCCGATGACGAAGCTCACAAGGTTAGCCACCTGCCAAATAGATATAAGGGGAAAATGGTCATTTTCAAATTCTTTTAAGCTAATCCAGCATATCCATGGAAATTGGTCCGATGACAAAGCCCACAATTTTACTTTTTACGATTTTGGTTATATAAATTATTTAAATTAATTAACTTTGGAATTGGAAATTGATCCCATTGGAAGTGTTGTTATTTCAGGAACATATATTAGGGTAGTTTTATGCAACACAAACCATGAGACACGCGATTGTGATAGCACCAACAACTACACTAAGCTCACGCAAAATAAACTCCTTAAATACGTTATCAGCCTGTAAAACCACAACTCAAATTTCAGGGAATTCCAATCTTAAACTATTTATTTTTGTTATATGTATATATAATGAGGGTATTTTGTTGTTTGAACAAAAAAACAAAAAAACAAATTCCTCTAGGAATTGTGATATCCATCCAACCAACAAACATAGAAGTTGTAGGAATTAGACAAAATTGAATTTTGTCCATCATTTGGCAAGCAAACACACACGCCGTGGAATGGAATCTCGAATTATAAGAGATTACATGGTGAAAATGTTCATACAAACTCCTTAAAATAAATGCTTTACAAAGTATATTAGATCACTGAAATTTGCTGTATTAAAACTTATTACATCACCTGAAAAGAAGCTGTTGTTGATTTCAAAATCATTTCAGGAATAAAGAATATGCATGTTAACTATGCCCATGAGAGAAGTTTCCTGTGCATAGCATAAAGTCACTTACATGCAGATAATTTCCACCAAAATTAAATACCATTCGAGATCATGCCATATGAAAACAAATGTGAAGACAACCCACACATTTAAGCTTCCTTCCAGATCCCCCAAGAGGGATGTACATGTACTTATAAATATAAATCATTTCATAATATAAATTAAGTATGTTGTAGTCAATGTCATTCTTGATTTTAAAAGACAAGACAAGATATATATATATATATATAT